TTGACAACAGGTGAGACTGGATATGTAGGGTAAGAGAGAGTGAAGCGTCAAGGATAACAATAAAGTGAATTTGGGTGACTGGAAGGAAATTAGGAAGAAGAACAGGTTTCATTGAGATGCCTACAGACCATTCAATTTGAAATGTTTAGTAAGTAGGCTGTTGATGACATGGGATGTAAGAGAGAGGTCAGGGATGAAAATATGGATTTAGGAATCATCTGCATAAAGCCAATAACTGAACCCACAGGATCTGATGAATAGGAAGTCAACTTCTTACCTGAATAAGCATGATATTTTTCTGCTCGAGGTCTTACTTGCTTTATACACATAACAGAACAACTGGAGGGCAGATCACCCCAAAGCATCTAACATTTAGGGTGCTATCCTTTGGTATCTAAATACCTGCTGTACTCCTTTTTCTCTGTCTTGACATTTTAACAGCTGTCACTACAGGGACATGGACAAGGATCATACTGGAAAAGAAGGCATTGATTTGTACTACCTGATGAAAAACATGCAGCTGTCATCTTATTATATATGTTAAAGCCAACTGAGATGGGGGAGGAGTATGTCAGGGATTGGAAGGGAGAATGATTTCACATTCAATGATAAAGAAAGGATTTCAAGGAAAATAAAATAAGTAAAGGTCAGACTGTGGCTAACTTGCCCCAAATGGGAAAGAAATGTTGAAAAGAAGCTGCATTTCATGAATGAGGAATTGGGGTGGGGTGGAGAGGGCAGAAAAGGGGAAAGTATTGATTCAGTCTGTTTTGGAGGGGGTAGGGAAGAGTTACTAAGTTACAGTTTTTAGTTCATAGGATCAAAGACCTAGAGATGGAAGGGCCTACTGAGGCTATCAAGTCCAACCTCCTGATTTAAAAAATGAAGAAACTGAAGTCCAAAAGGTTAAGTCAAATTAATACAAGTAGCAAATGTCAGGAGTTGGATTTGAACCCAGGTCTCTGGGTCTTCACAAGGTTCTTCCTAAAATAACAGTAATTCTTATTCCATTGTGCTTTAACGTTTATGAAACGTTTTTCTCACAAGATGTCAATGAGGTAGGTTGGACAAGAAGCCTTATTTCCATATTCCAGAGGAGAAAATTGAGGCAGTTTGGTACAGGGAGAAAAAGGACCGGAGGTCAAATTCGGCCTTTAATACTTACCACCTACCTATATGACCTAAGTCAAGTCACTCAACCACCCTAGGCCTCAGTTTCTTTATCTGTAAACTAAAGGGAGGGGCTGTGGTATTAGACGGCCTCAGCTCCAGATCCATAATCCCGATTCCACTACAATTCACTGACTTATGTCTAACTTGGGGACACACCCTAGTAAACGTCAGGGCTGGGACATGTAAGCAGTTCTTGTAACTTCGAGTCCAGAGCTCAGAACTAGGTCCAGGTCTGCTTCTCTTCCCCTCAGAGGAGGCTTCAGCAGGTTCGGGATGCTGTACCCGGGCTGGGGGATGCTGGGGGGCAGTAAGGAGGTGACTGATGGGGAAAGGAATGCAGACGCAAAGGGCAGCAGAGAAGTAGAAGAGAAAGGGGCCTGAACTCACCACCCTGCTCCCCTGCCCCGCTTCACTTCACTCCCAGGGTCCGCAGGCGCCTCGGCTGGGTCCCAGCTCCACTTTGGAGAGCTCGGCTCGCTGCAGCAGGCTCTGAAAAAACCTGAACCCTGCACAGGCGCAGTCGGGAAAAAGCGCCGGCTGGCCACCCACGGGAGCTACTGCGCATGCCCAAGGCATTCCACAAAGCGAACTTCGCTCTCTACGAGGTTTAGGATTGTTAAAAGCGCTAGGAAAGGACCCAAACGTTTAGCTACTGTGCTCCCACCCTTCCTTTGGTCAGAGAGGAAACTGAGGTTCAGAGAGATTAAATGATATGCCCAAGGCCCCAGGTCTGGTAAATTAAGGAGAACACGGACTTGAACCCAGGCAGGGAAGGGCTGGGGAGGCAGGACTCTGAAGAGCTGGTTCAGTATCCACTTTGGTGATTTTTAGTGGTCACCTAAATGAGAAAGCTCTCGCTTCCTCTTCGCCCTCTACCCTACCCACACCCCTGAACACATCACTGCCTTGTAACAGGTGTTATTTACAAAGTGACTGACCAACTATAAGGGAGAATTCTTGGCAGACAAAAATAGAAAATAATAGTAGCTAATAATAAGGCACTTTAAGGTTTTTGAAGGGCTTTATATGTTATTTGATGTTCACAACAACCTGTTAGGTGTTATAATCCCCCCCTTACACAGGAGTAAAGTGAGGCACAGAGGTTAAGTGACTTGCCCGGGATCACAAGTTTGAATTCTAACGCTGAATTCAAACTCAGGTCCACCTGACTCATCCACTGTGCTACCTATTGCCCTCTTAATAACACAAGCGACTTGTCACAAATATCCCAAACCACTTTAATCAAAGGAAATCAGGCTGACATGATTAATAAGATACAGGCTGGGACAGGAAGAAAGAATTGGGTTTAAACTCCCTTTAAGGTACTTACCAGAGTTTTGACATCTTCGAGCTTCAGTTTCCACATCTATAAATCAGAATAAATAAATAGTTATTAGGCACTAATATGCACTGGGCACTAAGATAATATCTGTAGTACTCATCTCACAGGGCTGTTTTGAGGCCTAAATGAAATAGTATAATGATAAGTTGTTTGCTTTTGCAGGATATAAATAAAATGCCATCTATTATTTCAATTAAGAAACTTCAGTTTCTATATTTAGATCCTCCCTATCTAGCAACAACTTTTAATCAAATGGAAGAGAATACCAGTGTCTCTTAGTAACAGAGGCCTACTCTATGTGTCCTGTAGTGCTTCTTTCGATTGTGTCCCACGCTGCTGTATCCATGGGGAAAAATAAATCTATATTATTCTGAGTTTAGACCTCTTCAGCCATGTTGATAATAGTATTCAGAAAACATCCATTTTGGGCTATTTTCTAGAGTGTGAGCCTGTCCAATAATAAAAATCCTGGTGGCTTCAAAAAAATAAATCAGCAACAGTAAAACAAAATAAAGAATCGGAGAATTCAACTCAATACATATTTATTAAGTTCCTACTAAGGGCAAAGTACGGTCCTAGGCACTGGGAACTTAAATACAAAATGAAAATTAGTCACTTCCCTTAAAGGGCTTACATTATATTGAGTATAACAACAGATATATACATTTGAATATGTGTATATGTACATAAATATACACTTAAATATATAAACACACACATATATACAATATACATGGCAATATTTAAATGGCTACATTTACATATATCTACGTATATGTACACACATAAAATATACACATTTAAATGTGGTCATATATGTATGTATTTAAATGGATCAACAGGGTGCCACAGTTGACATAAATAAAATATGAAGGTGGAGGGAGATCAGAGAAAGCTTCCCGTATAATTTAAAATGGAAAAGAAGGGTGTCCAGGGCAGCAAGAGAAAACGTTCTGAACAAGAAGTTGAGATTTAGATTATAGTCTAAATTTTAACAGTAATACACACTGTGCAAGACCCTCTGGAAGGCTCGGCTTCCTCAGCTTTTGTAAAACAAGGGGGTTAGGTTGTCTTTAAAATTCTTCCCACCACTAAAATTGTATATCTTACTTAAGATTTTTAATTTAGTTTTAAAATATGACATACATCAGACTGTATGTAAAATTTTACTGTACTGTATCTGAGGAAAAGAGCTTTCCTCCTTAATTAGGCTGGAAAAGACTCTTGAACCGTACAGCTGGAAGAAACCTTTGGCATAATACATACAATAACCTTATCGTTACTGCTGAGGAACACGAAGCTCAGAAAGGTTAAATGTCTTGTCCAAAGCCGTAATTAGTGACAGAATTGGGACAAGAAGGCAGGCTGGAAAGGCTAAGGAGTACAGTCAGAGGAACACCGGATCCTGGGGTACTTGATAGCAGTTTGTTTGGGTAAGTCACAACGTCAAGCTTCCTAGGTTTCCTTTTAAGAAAAATGCTTTAGAAACCATAAAGGGCTATATAAATACGAGACGTTATCTCCTGGCTCACAATCTAAGGCTATTTCAATTAATTTTCCTCTGCCAAACTAAATCTCTCCTGACTGCCAATCCGGAGCTATTTCAATTAATTTGTGTTCTCTTCCAAAACCATTTAAAAACCTTTACCGCACCCCTCCCCCCCAACACCCAGATATTTCTCTTAATTCTCCGAATTAATGAAAACCTGTTTTGACACATTCTATGGGTACTTCTTACTTTCCATAAGCCTCACCAGCAATTAAAAACAAAATAAAACAACTTTTATTGGGTAGCTAATAGGGGTGCACGATTTAGGCATTGGGGAGACAAAGGAAGAAAATAAAGAACCCTGCAGATGATGATGATGATGATGATGATATCAGAGAAACCTGCTGGGCTGTGGACTCATTAGCTAGAACATGCACAATTGCGGAGAGGAAAACTTCCAAGGGCCCCAGAATGCGCAGTAGCCCGATGGAGCCTAAGGCCAGTAGGGTACTCATTGTGCGCGAGCTCACGTGTCCGTGCATGACGTCACTGACGAACACCTGCGCAGTCGAAATCTAGGGTTTTTAAACTCCCCAGGCTTTTCCCCTCTTTCATCCCTCCGCGTCTACCCCTACGTTTCGGATACCTACAAGCTTTCTTTCCTCTGCGGCCACCGTTCAAATCCCGGAACCAGGGACGGAGGCCCGCCCATAACCCCCACTCTAGCCCCACCTCCCCGGACGCCGACGCCAGTGCGCATGTCTAGGTGCGCAGGCAGGTACTGGATTTGGGAAAGCTGCTGCGGGCGGCTGCGGCCGCTGTGGTTCCTGACGCGGCGGGGGGCGGAAGAGAGGGGAAGGCGGAGGACTCGGGAGCGTGAGACCGCGGGGCGACATTTGGAGGTGACACACGCAGCGTGGGCCGGAAGTGGAAGTGGCTGGAGCGACGCCGTAGGAGCTCCGGGGGAGGTGGCGGCGGTGGCGGTAGCGGACCGGGGCGAGGAGGCGGAGGCGGAGGAGGAGGATGAAGAACGACGGAAGAAGCGGTGGTCGGGGCTGTTGCGCGCTTCCCGGTTTAGTGTTTCTTGCTACCTGCGCCGCCGAGGAGCGTATTGAGTAAGTGAGGTTCCCCGGGGCGGGCAGGGGGCCGGGGCCGGCTCCGGTCACCTCAACGCGGACCCTGGGTGGCCACGGCCCCGGGAGGGCAATGCCCTGCAACAGGTGCCGGAACAGGAGCCCCGAAAGAAGTGTGGTCCGTGGCTCCAGGCTTGCTGGACGGAAACATCGTCCCTGGCTTATTTTCCTTTTCTTCCCGGATCGGAACTGGCCGAGGGCGACCTTAAAGTGCAGTGAGCGCCCGCCTCCGCCCCCGCGGCCAGGAGGGCGCATTTGGCTCGAAGCCGTGGGTGGCTGTAATGAGAACCTTGGTTACCGGTGATGGGTGTCTTACGGGACACGAGCGTCTGTCTGTCACTCCAGGAGCTGCTCATCCTGTAACCTAGTAGCTGAAAAGCCATTTTTGGAAAATAAGGGGGCTTGTTATCGTGACGCGCATTGATGGTGGTGCACCTCTTCTCTTGCAACTTGTAACCAAGCAGCCCCTAAAAACTATATAAGATCTGCTGAATTGCCGGCGCACTCCTGTGCCAAAAACTTAAATCCTCCTTGAGTTGAATTGTTCCAAGTAGGTTGACGTGACGCTAACCTGGAAGTCCAACTCCCTTTTCCCACTCCCTAAAAACAATGAGGCAGGGGGAAAAAAGAAAGGCAAATAGCTACACAGTTGTTTGGCGTGGTATGAATGATGTTTCCTTAAAAATCTAAGTGGACCAGGTGAAGATAGTAATTTTGAGTGATGTAGAAATAAAATGTATCAAACATTTTAAAAGAAAAACAAAGATTTTCGTAAGTGAAAATAATTTTGAGAAAGTCCTGAGGTAACTTTCTAAATGTTCCCAAGAAACCGTACTACAGCATAGCATATAACTTGATATTTGTTTCATGTCTCATTCAGGGAGATTTTATTGCTGAAATAGCAGTAGGACTTTCTTTGTCATTCAGTTGTGTGTGAAAAACTGAGCTGGAAGCTGTGGGTACAAACAAAAGTTTAAAAAACAAAACAAAAACCTGGCTCTACTCTCTGCAAGCTCATATTCTAGAGCTCATTTTCTAGTAGAGGAGACAACATTCGAACAGCTATATATGTCCCAGATATTTAAGTTGTAAGTGGAGGTAATCTCTGAATGAGGACACTAGCAGTAACAGGAAAGGCTTAAACAAGGTAGGGTTTGAGCAGACTTGAGTCTGAGGGCAAAGAAATCAGGCAAGGTAGTTTCATATGCTTCTGCAGGATGGTGTTGTGCTAGAGGTAGCCTGAAAGGGAAAGAGCATTGATTTTCAAATTCAGAGAGCTGGGTTCAAGTTTCACCCCGACTTTATAGTGTAACTTCAGGCAAGTCACTTTTGCCCCCCAGAACAAAAAATAACCTCAGTTTCCTTACATGTAAAAATGAATGGGTAAGAGGAATGACCCTTGACCTCCACTTGGCACTAATAATTTTAAGCTTTCATGAATTGGTTTAATTAGGAACTAACACTGGAGATTAGGAGTTCTTAACCTCGTTTTGGGTGTCATGGACCCCTTTGTCAGTCTGGTAAAGCCTTTGGACCCTTTTTTCCAAATAATATTTTTTAATGCATAAAATGAGACACATAGAATTATTAAGGAAACCAGTTATACTTAAAGTACATTCTCTGCCCAATACAAATTGCAAGCAGTCCATATGGATTGTTTTGTTCTGTTTGTGTGTATGTGTTGTTTTTGTTGTTTTTTTTTTTTCCTCTTGGATCTCCTCTTATATCCTTCTCTTTTTTTTCTTCTTGCCCTTTTTAATGTTTGTGTTTTTTTTAGGGTCTGTCCAGAGGTATTTCCCCCTACTCCCCCCTTTTTTTTTCTGTCTTTATTTTCTTCTTTGGCAAATTCGTTCACTTAGATGGATTCAGTTACCTTTACACAAATGACTAAAATCTCCATCCCCTGTCTCATACGAGAATCTGCATTTCCAGCTGTTCACTAGATATTTAATAACTAGCATTTATCTAGTATTTGAAGATTTGCACAGTGCTTTATATATGTTATCTCATTTTATATTCATAACAACCCTGGAAGGTAGGTGCTGTTGTTGTTCCCATGTTAAAGGTGATGAAACTGAGACTGACAGAGGTTAAGTTGCTTATGGTCACACAGCTAAGTAAGTGTATGAGGAGGTTGGATTCCACACAGATTGCCTAACAGGACCTGAGATTCAAATTGTCAGAAACTTTGTCTCCCTTTCCTTTTGATTTCTTTACATTTCTGTCAGTGGCACTATTTGGTCAATCAGAGACCTAGCATTTAGCATAGTACTAGTAGGCTTCTGCTATGTTTCAGGCATTATGCTCAGCTCTGGAGAAACAAAGACAGACAAAAAATAGCCTTTGCTCCTAAGGAACACACGTTCTAATAGGGGAGACAGCATGGAAACAACTATGTACAAATAAGATATATGCGTGATACATCAGAAAGGCTTCTTGCAGAAGTTGGAATTTTTAGCTGAGACTTGAAAGAACCGAAGGGAAGCTAGGAGGCAGAGATGAGGAGGGAGGGAGTACCAAGCATGGAAGATAGCCAATGAAAATGCCAGGGTTGGGAGATGGAGTGTTGTGTGCAAGGAACGGCAAGGAGGCCAATGTCACTGGATTGAAGAGTATATGGAGGGGAGTAAGGTGTAAGAAGATTGAAAAGGTAGAAAGGGGCTAGGTTATGAAGGCCTTTGAGTGCCCAACAAGAGGATTTTATATTTGATCCTAAAGGTAATAACCATTGGAGGTTATTTGAAATAGAGAAATGACACGGTCAGATTTATGCTTTAGGAAGATTAATTTGACAACTTAGTGAAAGATGGCCTCTAGTGGGAGAGACTCTTGGCAGGGAGATCAACTAGCAAATTAGTGAAATAGTTCAGGCCTGAGATGATAAGGACATGCACTGTGGTGGTCATTATATCAGAGAAATGTTAGAAAGGTGGTAGAAACAATAGGAATTAACTCATTGGAAATGGGAAATAAATGAGAATGAGAAGTCAAGGATGGCACCTAGGTTATGAGCCTGTATGACTGGGAGGATGGTGGTACCCTTGATAGTAATAAGGAAGATAGGAAGAAAGGAGGGCTTGGAGGGGAAAGTTGAGTTTAAAATATCTAAAAGGGAGCTGAATATGCAAGACTGGAGGTCAGGAGAGAAGTTAGGGCTGGGCAAGTAGATCTGAGGGTCATTTGAGATAATAATTGAAACCATGGGAGCTTATGAGATCACCAAGTGAAAAACTGTAGAGGAAGAAGAGAAATAGCTCAGCACAGAGCCTTGGGGACCCCTACTATTAGTGGGGATGATGTGGATGAAGGTCCAGCAAGGGAGAAAGTTATGGAGCCATCGTACAGGTAAGGGGAACGGAGAGAGCATTGTAGTTGAAAACCTAAAGAGAATAGAACATCAAGAAGAGGATGATTGAGTGTCAGAGATTGCCAAGGTTGAGGAGGCAGTCTGAGGAAAAGTCCATTAGATTTAACACATAAGTTATTATTGATAACTGCATACAGCAATTGCAGTTAAATGATGATGTTGGAAGTTAGACTGCAGAGAATTTAAGAAGAGAGTGAGAGCTTCCATTTTATACACTGTTCAACTGCATTTGAAATAGTGTTGTCATAAAATTCAGCAAACACTTTAAAAATGTTACAATCTAGGCTCCTGCTAGTACAGAAACAAAAGTGTGAAAAAGTTCTTGCCCTTAAAGAGTTCTTCTGTGAGGATATATATACCCAGATAAGTACAGACAAAGAAATTTCAGCAGTGAGAGATCACCACCAATTGGGGAAGATCATAAAAGGCTAAACTTTGCTTTAAGTAAGTTAGGAAATTCTGTGGAGTGAAAATGAGAAGGCAGTATATGACAGACACAAGGAGATACAACCTGTCGGAAGGGACCAAACAGGTTGAAGGTGAAGTTACTCTAACTAGTAGGCTATTTTAGCTGGGACCACAGAGTGCATAGAGTTTGCAAGGAGGAGTAATGTGAAATAAATCAGAGCAAGTTGGGGGGAATCTAGATTGGGGAGGACTTTAAAAAGTGTGAAGCTGAAGAGTTGGTATTTTTTCCTAGAGGTGAGAAGGAACTATTAGAGATTTAAGTTCTAGCTTATATGCCAATTCCTCCATGAGTATTCCCCCTCCCCCATTGGTTGATAGTGATCCATTCTCTCTTGAATCTCTTAGCACTTGCTTTGCATCTTCCTTACGCAGTTATGATATATCATTTCATAACATGATAGCTGCTGAATGTTAGATGATGACCTTCATGAAGGCAGGAAAGTATGCTAGGCTTTGGGGGCTGGGGTGAGAGATGAGGCAGAAGGTGGTTAAAAGAAAAATCAAGAACACTTTGCCCTCAAGGAGCTTACACTTTAACTTGAAGTTATCCAATCTTCTAATTAGGATTTTTTTTTCAGATTATGATTATTTTTTTCCATGACATTATCTGTAGGTTTAGGGCTAATTATATTCAAGCACACAGCTAAGACAATTAAAATGATATAAACTAAATTAACTAAGTATAATCCTTGTGTAGATAATTAGTGATGGTTTATTCACATGTTAGGTTAGAATGTACTTTATATTTAGGCCAGTCATTTCTAAGGGTTTCTGAATTGATTCAATTATGGTATAATGTGATGGTTACATATACATGTATTTGTGTACATATGACTATCATATATATGCATATATACAAACAGAATGTGTGTTGTGTGTGTGAATATGTAGATATTTGGTAATAAAACATTTATATAGCACCTGCTACATGCTACTAATAACAGCTAACACTTTTGTGGCACTTACTGTGTCACAGGCACTGTGCTATGAACTTTACAAATATTTGTAATCTCGTTTGACCCTCACAACAACTCTGTGAGGAAGGTACTGATGTTGTCCCGGCTTGTGACTTGCCAGGGTCGCATACCTACTAAGTATCTGGGGCTGGATTTGAACTCAGGTCTTCCAGATTTCAGACCCAGCACTC